GGAAGCCTGACAAATTCTAGTTGGTATCTCTTCACATCCTGCACAAGCTCAGGCTCATTCCCCCCTTGCAAGGTGACATTCCACGTCCTCCTAGCCAGTTTAAGCATCCATGGATCAGGTTACTGAGGCTAATGCTCCCTAGTTCTCTAAGCACTGGTCCCTCATGGATTCCCCTGCAGATGGTGGGCCCACTGGGGGATGACCCTGTGTCGCCCAGTGTTGCCCATTCGGGATTGGCCTTGCCAGAGGAGGAGCCCAATTGCCAAGGGCTCACTGACTTCAGGCCTGGTTTCAGGGTGAGGTCCAAGCTCTAGGGCGAGATCACGTGCCTCTATTTTGTTATCTTCAGCCTTCAATTCTAAGTAGTAATTTTATTTGAAAAAGAGACAGTTCCCTTGAAAGACGATTAAAAATGCAAAAAAGGTCAATTTTGAAAAAGAAAAAGTTTTTATGAATGACATACATCTTTGTACATTTTTCTCAATAATAAATAGAAAAAAATCAATATTTCCAACTCAGTTATCAAACTTTTAAAATAATTCCTAAGCCAAATTTGCATGTTTTCCTTTTACTGACAATTTATCTGTTATAATAAGCCCACGTTACTTATTTTAAAAATCTCTAATAAGATTCAGGGTAGCACCCTGGCTGCAAAAAAATGCTTTTCGTTAGGAGAAATAAAATTATTAAAAAAAACAAACAAAAGATGAAGTAACCTAAATCTGCTAGTGGCATAAATAACTTTTGACTACAGCTGAAATTAAACCACAGACAATATAGAAACAGCTGATGATCAGGAAGTGCATTTAGTTAAGGAATCGGATAATAACAATAGATTTATCAGTAAAATACTTCTATAAATTGATTGCAGAGGAACTGGTAATAATTAGTTGAGAAAAATATAGCACATTTTATCAGTCTTCAAGCAATGCATGTTAAAAATAAAACCATGATGTGAGTAGGAATACATGATTGATAAAATGATAGGGTAATTTCTTGATTTTTAACATCTGTAGTAATATAAAGTAAAAGAAAAAAACTGAGTTTTCCATTTCACTGATCCTCCATATGGCTTTCATTTCAAGATATGACATAATCTTCCCTTTGCCAAAGAGAATGCAAAAACAAAATCCCTAAAAAAGAATTAGCCACAACACCCCACCTCCCACCCTTGGTCTCCAGCTACACCCTCATGAGCTTTGCAGCTCTTGCTGCAATTAGACCTCCAAGGAACAGGGCAGGGATTGCTAACTTTTATTTGTACCTTCAAACACTTCATCAACCCTCTCAATCCTTTTGTGGTCCAAGATGAGTCACCACACTCAATGGGGAAGAATATTTAGAGAACACATTTAGCTGGAAGTCTAAAAACAACTCAATCAAGTTATATTTTATGGCTTTCATACATAAAAACCCTCCCAAAAGGTAGTAATGCAAATTAATTGTGTTTCAAAGGTATCTGTGGAATGATAATCATGAAGGGTGGTGCAGCGGTTTTGATGGTTATAACCTAGTCGCAAGAAGTTTTTTTACTCTGAACTCTGAATATCTTTATATCTTTTTGGGGAGTTTCCATATTTTGTTTGCATGTTTTTCTATCCACAGGAATTATATCCTAAAATCTAGAATCATATGCATACATGCAGTTTAGGAAAAGATATAATGAGTTTAGGTCCTAAAAAATTATAATCTCCCTTGTGTGTTTTATTGTACCTTGAGATGCTGCTGAGGAGCAAATACTCAAGCATTGCAGCAAAGAACAGTTTCACTACATTCCGATTTTAACATGGAAATGAAAATGTTTATTTTAAGTTAACTGCTTGTTAAATCTACCCAAGTATCCGTCAGTGCTCTGCAGACAGCTGTTGAATGTGTCTGTCTTGAGGCAGTCCCTTTTCTCCTTGATTTCCTTTTGAAATTGGATAAGAGTGAGGCCATGTGTCTCTCTGGATTAGTTTCTGATGAAAAAAGATGTCCTCCTCTTTTAGTCTCTTCAGCACATGGCACAAGAGCCTTCACTGGCTGAAGATGGTACAAATGACAGGAAATAGACAGAGGAATGGGGGAAATTGGAAATCCCCCTTTTTTCTTATTTACTCTGATCAAAGGCTGCTTGGGATAATAACAGAGCAGAAATTTTAAACTACAGCTCTGAACCATCCGTGAGTCTCGCTGTGTAATCAAAAGATTTACCTTTTGCATTTTAGTTAAATTGATTGCCTATAATTATTTTAATAGGAAAATTTTAACTTTCTTTAAAAAATATGCACTACTCTTCCTTCTTGGTTTGTTTCTTTCTTTTGAGGTCTGAGCCTTCCACACTAATAATCAACTTCTTATTTTGATTGACAAAAATATGGAAAGGAAAAAACAGATTTGACTCTAGTCTATTTACTTCAGCTCTTTAAATAGTCATCTATATCCGACATTTTAATAAATTCTTGCAAATTCGAATTTCAAAGACAAGAAGATATTTGTTTGAGAGCCAAAGTTAAGAGTTATGTCCACTGTTTAAAACAGAGACATCTGTGTGTGAGAGACAGAGAACTGATCTGTGTGTGCGTGCTGAGTGTGTGTGTGAATTTGATAATTACAGGAAATATGTCTGAGCCCTGCCAAAATACAACTGCCACATCCCCTCTTTCTATACCTCCTAACCACCCAAGACCTATTGCAACTCAAACAAACAGTTGCTAGTCTCCAACTCTGACATCTTATTAGCAACAAAATATACACAGTCACCTCCTCGTCTGTGGATACCTAATCCGATTCTAAACAAATAAACGTCTCCAACGAGAGTAGAGTTGTTGCTGTGCTTGATCTACAGAATTAGAATAAACATTTTCTCCATCTATACCACAGATCATGTATCAGAAAAATATACAACCCCCCCAAAAAAAACAAATCAAAGAATTTTGCCTTTCAACACTGCACAACAGGACATCAACCTGTTTTTTAAGGAGAAGATGAATCTTGTTTCATTTTCTTAAACATTACTTATATCTCCCAAGTTCATGAAAGGAGGCCAAAATGAACCAGCTCCACCCATTCTGGCCTGTGGCGATTATTATACCTGAGGTCTTACAGGAACTTCTAACACACACCAGATTCCCTTTTTTTTTCTTTTATGAGGGAACTGAGTCTGGCCTCATCATGAGGAAATGAAAGTCTTTTTAGGGCAGTTCAACCCAGCGGAAGGAGATCCTTCCAATGGATTAAAGCTTAGTTTATGTTATTCACCCTCAACCTTTATGATGCTTAAAGGCAGAAGGTATAGGGAGAACAAGTTTTTTTTTATTTAGTCATGAAAACAAAATGGTGAGTATATATGTTGTTGCTGCAAGATTACTTTTTAACTTAATACTTTTTCTGTTGTTGTTCTGAGGAGTATGTGTGCATGTTTAACGACATGTCTCCAATGGGCAACAGCCTCCATTTCTAAGTGGGAGTGGCAGTAGATCTAAACTAATGACTGAAAAAGAGACTGGTTTAGTTTCCTGCCTGATAAAAGGGCTTCCTCACAGTTAAAAAGACCAGAGGACGAGACCAGTGTAAATCAAATATACAACATCTTCCAAGAATGATGTCCTGCCGTTGCAATGACAGAACCACGGGCACAGCTCATAATCAACCTCTAAGTTATTTATTGATGCTTTTAAGGTTTGCTTTGATCTTAGCGTGATGAAAGCAAAGTTCAGAAATACGAGACGTTTTTGCAACATTCAAGGAGGAAGATTAAACATAAAGATATTAGTCACAAACACACTTGGAGTATGTAGCAATTAAAAAAAGTACTATCAGTTCTCTTTTTCTACCTGTCTGTCTGTCTGTCTGTCCATTTTTGTCATAAGACACATTTACATAACTTTTTTTTTGCTTATAAATACATCATTATACTCTGACTAGTCCTTTTGCAAGATAGGTTCACAGAACATTAAAGAACATCTACTTCCGTGCCTATGTGGGCAAAAGCAGTATTTATCAAAGTGCACACATAAAATCCTGTTCCAAGAGAGTAAATTCCTTTAAATTCCTTCATTACCATAAAAAGTAATACAAAAAATACAGCTATGTTGATCTTTTCAAAAACTTTAGATTTCTCAACAGTTCTGAGTGGGGGCAGGTCACCACCATTTTACATTCAAAGCCAGAACTGCACACCGGAAGTCCATCCTGAAGTTGAAATTTATCCCAAAAGGAAATTCGGGATGTGAATTTAAATCCGCTGACCTGAGGTTTGGGTTTCTCGTCTGCCAACATTTGAATGAGGGGGATAGCCCTCAGGGGCGAGGATAAACTGAAGGTATTACATTAAGTTTAGGTATTAAATCCACTGATTTTAGGTTTAGGATTGTTTTTGTTTTGTTTTTGGTCTTTGTCAGAACACCAAAGACAATACTGGCAACGATACTGTCAATCAAGCAAATAATAAACTGTGTTCAAATATTTCTACAACCAGTAGTCAGGCATTCTAAAATTAAATAAAATCAAATAATGAATTGAAACTTTAAATTGTTTTAGGTTTTGAATTAAATCATTTTTTTATGAAAAAGACTGAAACAAATCTGGCCAAATTAACTTAAAGGTGTGCACATCTGGCATGGTTTGTAAAAATGACAGTGCCATGCCCCTGCAGTGGTGTGCCTCTCAAATATCTAATTAAAATACTGATGCACAGCACTGGAAAGAAAAGAAAAATTAAATACTTTAATAACATTTAAAAAATGTAAATTCTCAGACTTTTATACATAAGTCCTTCAAAGAGGTGTAGATTATTGTCACATCAATAATGTTATCCAGCTATATATTGAAGGAATCATTCAACATTCAGTTTAACAATAACTTTATTTGATCTAAATGATTCATTCATTTCAGGAATATTTAAGGATGGATGGTCATTTAAGAGCATTGAAAATTGTTGATGACTGTAGTATGCTGCACGCTTACCGACATATGCAATAAAAATGTTGCAACACTAATCTGTTTGAATATCTATGCAGAGCTTCTGCAGATGAACAGGACCTGGATCTTCCAGGGACAAGGATTGCTTCTTCAGCCCCAGACCATGCTGCTGGATGAGAGCCACCAAAGACTTTATGTTGGTGCCAAGAATGCTTTGTTCTCCCTTAACTTGGACAGGGTCAATGCCCACTATAGACAGGTACGCTGGGTTTTATCAGTTTCTGTTTGTTTAGTTTCTAAAATCCTAGGTGATAAATCAAAACTAGACCTGTGTGTACAAAATTTTTACTCTCATGAACATGTTTACAATGCATGACTAAATTTTGAAGGATTTATATCTTATAAAAGATACAGTAAAACAGTGCTTTGCAAGAATTCAGGTTATATGCCCAAGTACAGCTAAAAATGTAATAATTTACTTTGTTTATATCACATCTTTTGGTAACGTAGAATCTGCTTTTCTTTCAGATTAACTGGGGGAGTACTGAATTTCAAATAGAGGAGTGCATGATGAAGGGTAGGGAAAAGGTATGTCATAAAATACATTAAACAGATAAATATGTCTTCATCTTGGACTTGGCTGTGACCAGCTATGTAAACTGTAAAGGCAAATTTGAAGTTATCAAGATTTATTAACCTAACTTTCAGAATCTGTAAAATTACCTGGGTTGAAAGATTTTATATATACGCAGTAGATGTTTAGAGTATGAGTAGCTCATTAAGTCTCTTTAGATATAACTCATTATATAATATCTGTATTATATATATCAGTCTATCACTGCCTTAATCAAGTGTCTTGATACAATAAGGCCTGGATATCTATATTTTTATGAAATAAAGACTGAAGTGATAGTTTTTGGTGACACCACTGGAATAGATCTTGGCTCTTTGGACCAGCATATAAAACCAATAATCACTAACCTAGGGGTAATATTGCATGCAGATCTAAAGTTTGAAAGCCAGATCAGGGCAGTTCTTAAATCAAAATTTTTTTATTATTATTCATGGCAACTGGCCAAAAGAAGGCCCATTTTTTTAAGGCAACAGTTTGAAATGGTAATCCATGCCACTTGGCTGGATTATTTCAATGCCCTCTATGTGGGGGTTAGTGCCTGCTCCATCTCCTGTATTCAGATTGATTGATTGATTGATTGATTTTATTGATATCATGGAGAAATTTAGATGGTTCAAAATGATGCAGCATGCCTTTTAACTGGCACACACAAGTATGAGCACAACTCCAACATTTTAGCCTCACTCCACTGGCTGCCCATGCATTTTAGAATTCATTTTAGAATGATCTTTTTTGCTATTAAATCCCTGAATGGTCTTGCCCCACCATACCTCTCTAAGCTTCTAGTCATTATAGACCCACTAGAGCCTAAAACTAAGCGGAAGCTCAGAGGGGACGGCGCTTCAAAGCTCTGGAATGACCTGCCTCAGCACATCAGACAGGCCTCTTCTCTGACTGTTTTTAAATCGCTTCTCAAAGCCCACCCTTTTGCTTCGGGTTTTAACACCTAGCAAGAGAGTAGGCTTTATTTAATTTTGTATTTTTTTTTTTTTTTATCTTTTATTCATTTTATCATTTACCCAATTTTATATATTTGATTTTGTGAATGTTATTTTTACCCATGTTTTAGCTTCTTTGTTTTTTATCTGCACTGGTTTATGTTTTATTTATTTATTTTTTCTATGCAGCACTTTGGTCAGATGTGGTTGTTTTTAAGTGTTTAACAAATAAAACTGGATTGGACTGGATTTAATATAGACTCTTACTATTGTTTATGACTTATAGATATTACTGATCATGCAATTGATGTCTTTTTTTAGTATTTTCACATTATGGCAATGTATTTTTTGCAGCCCACACCTCACCTATACCACAATTGTTATTATATGTTTCATATCTCTATTTCAACAGCCTGAATGTGCAAACTATATTAAAGTCTTGCAGCAATACAACCAAACTCATTTGCTGGTCTGTGGAACAGGAGCCTTTAATCCTGTCTGTGCCATGGTCAGAGTGGGACACAAAGGACAGGTGAGTGATGAAAAGGAGACAAAGTTTGATTTAGAGATAAGATATTTGAAAGGATCCTTTTTGTATCATGTGTCCTGATAACTGATTTTTCGCAGAGGCTTTTTTCCATTGTAGCAGACCAGTAAGAAACAGATTGAAAAGGTAGAGTTAAACATAGACATATATAAACAGTAGATGCCTCATGGCGGACTGTTACCTATTGCTGTTGTTTAGCCATGCAGCTGCCTTGTTGGAAAGGATCTATCTATGTATCTATCTATCTATCGATTTAAGTCAAATGATTTCAAGCCACAATGATGATGCATAAATGAAAAATTACTACAGAAAACAAGGGACTCTGATTCTAATTTGAGCAGATAAATGTAGTTACCTGGAGATCATAGGATCATTTGATGTAAAACAGAGACACGTGTTTAAGTCTTTTGGCACTAATACAGCTGTACACTCTGAATCCCAAACATATGTCTACATGCAAAATGCATTGTCCTCTAGTAAATTAAATAATTAAAATCAACTTAGTCACTTTAAAGACAGAACAGGACTTGTTTTACCTGTTTTTTATTCCTGGAAAAATAGGAAATAATGTCACAGCAGCTTTTTTTTTCACAAAGCCATTTTAAAGAAAGTCTGAAATATTCTTTTGAATATTTACTTTTTGAACTTGAGCCTAAAGCAAAAGACTAACAGTCAGTTTAGCTTTAGTCCAAAGAACACCTTCAACTCCTCATCGTAAATGTAGCCAACATTTGAAATTATACTGCTTGAACTATAGCTCCAACGTTTTAATTATCTTTTAGCCAAAGCCTTTCAAAATTCTTAGCACATCTTGAACTGTTGCAATATTGGACATTGCACATGCAGTATCCTCTAGATGTATCCGTGGTGTTCCTACTTACCTCTGTTCCCTTTAAAGAGGGACGACGTTTCAGGGTAGAGAACCTCAATGCATGTTTAAATCAGAATGTGAAAACTTATTGCTTGTCATTAATGCATATGTGTATTCAACCAAACTTAGCTGCATACGTACATCAGAACAAGCATGCATTAAAACAGTATGACACATTTTAACACATTTGAATTTGGTTGTTTGGATAACAAACAGATGTAAAATATGTTCACTAACACTTGAAAAAGAGGTCAAATAGGCTGACAGCAGCTTTAAGACAGAAACAAGACTCAGCCATTATTACACTCAAGAATGCTCATTGCTCAGCATTACTACGTCTTTGTGGCTGACTATTCCAAACAACTCCATATCTTACATACATGCATATAATGTATAAATTCATCATCTGATGTGATAAAAAAAAAAAAAAAAAAATCTTACTTTTTTTCTTAATTTTCAAACAGAATTTCTTATTAAGTTATGTTGGTCTGTCAGGTTTACTTTTACCTTTAAGAGATAAGCATCCACAAAGAATGGCTTTAGGAGAAAAACTAACCAGTTGCTATATGGGTACAGCAGAGTTGGGTTCCATAGCCGCTTCCTAAATCAAGACAGAATGTGACATAGCACCACTGGAATACCAGTAACTACTCAAGATTTTTGTGGTGGCCCACAATATATGAGTTGTGACAGTGTGTTTGTGTGTAACTGTGTGCACTTGTGCTGTCTGCACTGCAGATGAGTGGGAGTAAGAATCCCACAGCAATAAAAGAGCAGAGTGAAGCTGGATAAACACTTTTATTTGACAGTTGCCCATTTGGTCATCCATCACCTAAATTCCCATCTACCTTCTTTCCTTTTTCCCTACCATCTTTCTACCTTGAATAATTTTTGTTAACGTAAGGCCTGCATCCCTTTCAGGGGTTTGTCTCACTTAGGATGTGCACATTTTCATGGAAATTATCAAGCTCATATTGTGTGTTTGTGCCTTGCTTTAGGAAACAACGTTTGCTCTTGAACAAGAGAGTGTTATGAGTGGGAAGGGACGCTGTCCATATGACCCCAACAGTTCCTGCATTTCAACACTCCGCAGTAAGATATAACTCATTGTTTTAATCATCAGCAGAGCTGAAAACACAAGCACTTTCAATACAGCCCAATTTCAACTCTTTTGCCTCTTAAGGGTAAATACTGCCACCTTGTGGTTAATATGCATGCTTTCCTTCTCTGTTTTATTTAGGAGGAGAGCTTTATATTGGCCTTTACACTGACTACTGGGAAAATGATGGTGCCTTGTGTCGACTAAACAACAACACCTACACTCGCACTGAAAGAAACGACAGGCAGCAGCTCAATGGTTGGTTGACTAAAAAAGGAAAGAAATTGTAGTCCTAATCACTACCTTTAAGTTATAATGAAGGATACAGGAAGAGTCCAGTTTATCCCACAAAACAGGTTTTATCAACTTTGGCATTTAAAAATGACATCTGGTATTTCAAGAGCCTTTCTGTCTTGCTGTTAGAAATATAGATTAAATGAGGCTAACCAAATTATCATTAAATGGGTTCAGAAAGCATGGTAGTTCAAGAGGAGAAACTATTTAATTCTGGCATCATATTAATAAATAATACCTTCAATTACCTCAATTTTAAAAATAGGGTGTAATCAGCAATACAGTTTTTTTTATACAAGATACAAAAGTTATAAAATGATCATACAGTTTATCTTTTCCTGAAATAATCAAATCACATTCACTCCACTTAATAAAGGTATATCATATTTACTCCAAAGCATCTTCTGTGGTTTGTCTCTCTTCCATTTCCCTTTGTTTTTTAAATGGTTTAGCAAGACTTTGAAGGGAATGCTTAGTTTTTATCAATTTCACTTATATCAGTCTTTAGAAATTCCACTGTCCCTGCTGATTAATATAAAAATAAATTGAACTTCATTGATGTCACAATGGAGAAATTAACTCTCTGCATTTAACCATTCCTCTTTGGGGAGCAGTAGGCTGCCATTGTTGGGCGCCTTTGGAGCAATCGGGGTTAAGTGTCTTATTCAGAGACCCAGAATGGTAGTCTGTGGGAGTGGGTTTTGAACTTAAAACCTCAGGATTCCAAGCCCTATGCCCTAACCACCAGGCCACCACTACCATTATCTCTAAAGCTTCTCCTAGTTACCACGTTTCAAAAGTGGAGTTAATCTGCTCAGGGTGATCTGCTCATTACATTTTATAAAATAAACACCATTTTACTTAAAATTAAATACACTGTACTTTGGAATACCAGTGTAAAAAGGGTGACAAATGCACATTAGACTTTCCTTTTTTATTTTTTTTCACTCACTATGAATTCATACATCATAATTTATCTGTGATATAAACTCCTTATAAATTACAGCTACTTTTTTGTTGTAAAATAACACAATAAAACATTTCTAGTAATAACTATGATGTTTGCATATGAATCTTAAAACACATAGGTCTGCTTGTTCTAGTCTCTACATTTTTAAATCATTTCTTACCAAGCTTTTTGATTTGCTTGATAAAACGTTGTTTCACAGAGCCTAAGTTTGTGGGGTCAGCAGTTATCCCAGACAATGATGACAGAGATGATGATAAAGTTTACTTCTTCTTCACTGAGCGGGAGACTGACGGAGAAGGAGTGAACAGAGGGGTCCTTACCCAGATTGGTCGAGTGTGTGCGGTGAGAATGCTTACACAGTAGAAATGCTTGCAAGCAGAATTTGGTCAGTTCTGACAGGGAAAATAACAATATGGGCCGATTTCATCTCCTAGAATGACCAAGGAGGACAAAGAATGCTGGTGAACAGATGGAGCTCCTTTCTGAAAACTCGTCTCATCTGCTCTGTGCCTGGACCAAACGGCATTGACACACACTTTGATAATCTTGGTAAGGATACAGCAATATGTTCTAACCACTTATGGAGACTCACTGAAAAATACATATTTTAAGGAACCAGTGAACTCACTTTTGCATGTTTTCTTTTAGAGGATGTTTTTGTGCTCACAAAGAAAGATGAAAAAAACCCAGAAATCTTTGGCCTCTTCAGCACAACCAGGTGAGTGTAAGATGCCTACAGAATTATATGTATATTCCTAATCTATAAATTTAGTAATAATGACCTTTTTCTACAGTGCTGTGTTTAAGGGCTATGCAGTTTGTATGTATCACATGGAAGACATAAGAGCAGCTTTCAATGGACCATTCGCCCACAGAGAGAGACTTGAGCATCACTGGACAGCCTTTGAGGGCAAAGTCCCTTATCCTCAACCTGGATCTGTAAGCCTTAAATCTCTTACAAAACTATTTATTGAAATTGCCAGACTAAACCATATTCTTCACTCTCAACACTCTCAATTTAACATAGTTAGCATCTAAGAAAGATGTCCAAAGCTGAAAAGAATGAGCTTTTCAGAATGTTCAGATTGATGCAGCTGCGTCAGCAGTTCATACTGGCATAGCCTGAACCTGATTAATTAATTAACTCTGTTTCATGCACTGCCAACTGCTGACGGTAATTATTCTTCTTTTCTCAGCTGTTAAATCTCCCCTTTTCTCTTTAATTATTTCATCTTGTTAACAGTGTGCCAGTAAAATGAACGGCGGAAGCTTCTCCAACTCAAAAGACTTTCCAGACGAGGTTTTGCGATTTGTGCGTTCGCATCCTGTGATGTACCGCCCAGTCCTTCCACACCACCACAGACCTATTCTCCTGCAGACAGAGCCAAGCAGAAGAAAGCTGACCCAAATTGCAGTAGACAGAGTCCAAGCGCAGGATGGACATTACCATGTTCTCTACATTGGCACTGGTAAAGCACATTGCATTATTCTGTATTTTTATTTGTATGAGATATTTTGAGTTTTATAAATTGATAACGCAGTTTACCAAAGCATAGCAGAAATAGTTATATTATTTGGCTATGAAACATTCAAAGAAGCATCAATGTAGAATAACTGTTTTCTGTTATTAGATGACTCTCTGGTTTTGAAAGTTATCACCATCTACAACAAAGATACAGACAGCATAGAGGAGGTGCTGCTGGAGGAGCTACAAATTTTCAAGGTACCTCCTGATCTATATACAAATCTTTTCATGTCAAACTTACATATATAAACTGGACTAGACTGTTGTATTTTCTTGGGTTACTGGCAAATAAGGCATAATTTTATACTTCAGGGGCACAATATACCAGGTTTGAACGACAGCAATTTTAATGCAAGCAAAATACGTAGTTTTTTATGAGAATGTGACTGGGTGCTTGAGTTAAAAGTGCTTAAGTTTGCCACAAAGTCTCGACATAGAACATAACTATGAAGTGATGAAAAGTTTTCTAATTACCTGCAGTTCATTGACAAGTTCATTTGTCAGACAAATTCCTGAGACATGTGTAGCACTACAAGATAGAACAGGTTGTACAATGAAAAAGAAACTCAATGCCTCTCCTAGAAGCGTGTCTTACATGAAATGTCCCCCTCAAGCTACAGGAAAATTATGTTGCTTGAGTTAGACTACATGCATCATTCAAAAAGAAAGAAATCATCTCTTAATCTGTGCTGTTGTGTAAAATACATGGAATGGGCGATTGCAACTTCAAATACCAATTTGAATTTAGGATAATTACAGTCCAAGTATATCCTGACATTTATTTAACACTTAGCCTTTCTTTCACCTACATCTTCAGCCCGAAACTCTAAATTGGTTAAATTTTATGATCACTTACACAATTACAGAGTTAAGTTACGGATTTTTATTTCAATGTTTTACTTAAATCAGTTGTATATAAGTGCCTTAAAAGTACTTGTAGCCTCAAACTTCCAATGTTTCCTCAAATTAAAATGGCAAACTATACCAGAACTTTAAGCAGCGATGAACAGGTTCCAAGCCCAACCCAACAAGTCCCTCACCACCCCTCCCCTTCTGGCACACTCTTCTCCCTCTATCCTCTTAACTCCACTTAGCTCTGCCATAAATTGTCCAGGGTAGGACTTTGGAGGATGGTACTGATTTCTAAAAGGTTTGGCCAGTAAAATGCATTTTGGCTGGTAATGCAGTCCATTTAGAAAATAACTTTTTAAATCAATAATTTGTCATAAAATCCATCAAATACTTTGATTTGACTCTTCCCAAATGCTGAGCAAGTGCAAGTCACATCCCTAAAGTTGAGAGTTTTGTAAAACAGAACTGCAAAGGCTAATTTTTAAGTCAATAATGAGTAACAGTTGGCTTTAATTGTAAAAAGCATAAAATGTTGTTACTGTATCAGTGAATTATCAAAACACTGTTGAAGTTATGTTAACAAAAGGAATGTGAGAATGGTGCCATGTTCCTACATTAAATGATTTTGGGAATGAAATGCATCATTCCACAGAATTTACAGAGATGTAACAATTCGTATAAAATGTAACAGTTTATCCCATTAAACATCATCTACTTTGATTAACCATATCTATTTCTGCAATAACATATGCACTGTTTACATTGTTCTTAGAATATATGCAGTTTGAACGTTTTTGTAGCACTAGAGGTCTTGGACTGACTGTAGACATACAGTAAAGTGGGAGGGGAGAGAAGGGAAATCTTGGTCGTGAATCTAATTCGGGACGACTGTGTTTAGGATTATGGCTTCCATGCATGAGTTGTGCGCTGTACCCCAGTGCCTACACCATGCTTGGATGGTATCAGGTCACATCAAAAGTTTTACAGCATAATTTCCACAACTCTTCAGTGACAGCCTTAATTTAAAAATGTATCAAGTACCAAAGTATTCTTGAAAGATCAATGGCTAGGAACAATATTGTTTATTAATACCCATGGTCTAAATACTTTTTTTTTTTTTTTTTACCATCATTTGTAAACCATAAATTCCATTTTAATTAGCTAAATTTAAAACAAATATAGGGGTTTATTATTTGCTCATGCAATAATCAGTAATCCAGGTCTCACTTTCTCTTCACACTCTACAATACTGGCTATAAGTACCATCTGTGACATGCCGTATACAGAGATATTCTGATGATACAGCCATTGTGGCGTGTAAATAGAGGGGATGAGAGGGAATAGATCGGAGTATTCCTTTCATTGTCCCTGAGGGACAGTAAGAGGCTGGATATGTTGATTAGGAAGTGCACTTTTGTGATGGTATGTGTTCCTTTGCTGTAAAACAGAGGACTGGAGGACTTTGAGGGATCTGTTGTTCCTCCTGGTACAAGACAGTGTAACAGTCGGTCTTTCTTAACTATGCATTTACCGTATGTATTGCTGCAGATCAACTGAACTTCGCTTATGGGGGACTAATAAAACATCAGTCAATCTATCTAT